GGGTCCAGCGCCGATCCGAGAAATTCGCGCGGACCTCCGAGTTTTTTATGTTTATGTCACTTTTTGTTCCCCTCAGGGGGAAGGCTTCCTAGAAGCACCCCTGCCCATTCGGAGGCGAGCCTTGTCAGCAGACGTAGGGCCGGCGCCTTCCCCCCACCCTGTTGTGCGCGCCGCCGAGAGAAGGGGGGTTCGGACTGGGGCGGTGTGGATGTCCTGGCCAGCGCCGCGAGGCCTCCTGTAGCTTTCGTTGGCCCCTCCTCTTCTATTAGCACGTCTCGTCTCCTGGCTCCCCCAGTCGTCTGCGCACGTTTGCTCGCGTCTTTGCGAAACCCCCTTTGTATTGACCCGGGTCAGGGCGTCCCCGAGCCTGGCGCCGATCCCCTTTTCGCTCGCCGCCGACAATCCTCACGTCTTCGCCCGGAGGAGGAGGAGGAGGAGGAGGAGGAGGAGGAGTGAGGAGGAGGAGGAGGAGGAGGAGGAGGAGGAGGAGGAGGAGGGGGGAGGAGGAGGAGGAGGGGGAGGGGAGGGTAGGGGGAGGGGAGGGGGGGAGGGGGAGGGGGAGGGGAGGGGGAGGGGGAGGGGGAGGGGGAGGGGGAGGGGGAGGGGGAGGGGGAGTGGGAGGGGGAGGGGAGGGGGAGGGGGAGGGGGGAGGGGGAGGGGGGAGGGGGAGGGGGAGGGGGAGGGGGAGGGGGGAGGGGGAGAGGAGGAGGAGGAGGACTCCTCCTCCTCCTCCCCTCCTCTCCTCCTCCTCCTCCTCCTCCTCCTCTCCCTCCTCATCCTCCTCCCCTCCTCCTCCTCCTCCTCCTCCTCCTGAGACATGAAAGCAACAGGGTGCCTTTGCCCTAGCTGCTGTTTAAAACAGCGCGTAGCGCTGTTCAAATCTTGGGAAACCCCCGGGCCGCAGAAGACCTAGGCGCGAAGCGGGAAAAAAACCGGTGGACCACAGGACTGAAGCGGAGCTAATTAGGACGGCTGTCAGCACCCAGGGGACCTCCTCCTCCTCCCCGCCGCCCCCCAACCCCCTTCAGGCGGCGGGGCTCCGCGCCCCTGGCCGCCCTGCTGCTGGTCGCGGCCGCCCTCGCCGCGTACCACTCGGCGCAGGCGCAGAGGACCCGGGGTGCCGAGGTGGCGCCCGCCGCCGAGCGAGCCACGGGTCGGGAGGGGGAGGAGGGGAGAGGGAGGAGGAAGAGGAGGAGGAGGAGGAGGAGGAGGAGGAGGAGTGGAGGAGGAGGAGGAGGAGGAGGAGGAGGAGGAGAGGAGGAGGAGGAGGAAGGAAGGAGGAGGGGGGGGAGGAGGGAGGAGGAGAGGAGGAGGGGGAGGAGGAGGAGGGGAGGTGGAAGAGGGGGAGGGGGAGGGGGAAGGGGGTGAGGGGGGGGGGGTGGGGGAGGGGAGGGGAGAGGGGGAGGGGAGGGGGAGGGGGAGGGGGAAGGGGGAGGGGGAGGGGGAGGGGGAGGGGTGAAGGGGGAGGAGGGGTGGAGGAAGGAGGAGGAGGAGGGGAAGGATAGAGGAGCGGGAGGAGGAGGAGAAGGAGGAGGAGCGAGGAGGAGGAGGTAGGAGGAGGATGAGGAGGAGGAGGAGGAGGTACGAGGAGGTGGAAGAGGAGGGGTGAGGGGGATGAGGAGGAGGAGGAGGATCGAGGAGGAGGGGATGGAGGAGGAGACGAGAGAGGAAGGAGAGGAGGAGGAGGAGGGAGGAGGAGGAGGAGGAGGCGGAGGAGGAGGGGTGAGGGGGAGGGGGAGGGGGAGGGGGAGGGGGAGGGGGAGGGGGAGGAGGAGGTACGGGGAGGGGGAGGGGGAGGGGGAGGGGGGGGGGAGGGGGTGGAGGAGGAGGTGGTGGAGGAGGAGGAGGAGGAGGAGGAGGAGGAGGAGGAGGCGGAGGCGGAGGAGGAGGAGGAGGAGGAGGAGGTGGCGCCACGGGTCGAGTACGGTGTCTTTAGGTCGGGCCTGGCCCTTTACAGGAGGAATATTCGATAATAGTGAAAAACAGTCTGGGGACGATTTTCGATTGTTGTTTTTGACTATTTCTGAATGTGTGTTGGCTATTTCTGATTTTGCGCCCCAAAATCCGCCTCACATGCCCGACCTAACGTAGGGGATCGACTACATAATTGATTTACCCCAAGCTTGACTTGTCCGTCGAGTGAGCCTACGAGAGATGCGTAGGATGTTCCGAGATCAACGGAGCACTTTACGTATTTCTCCTAGAGTCGAACGGGCGCGGTCGATGATCGGCACGACCGGCCCGCACGTGCTCGCGTCGTGAAGCTCGCCGTGGGTGGGGGGATGGACGTCCGAGCGGTGGCAGCGGGCTCCGGGAGATCCTGGCGGCTCCATCTCTTCGAGCCGGACGTCTTCGCCCAGTCTCGGACCTTGGGGCCCCTCACACATATGGTTATGTCGGGCGTGTCCCCCTGCAGGGGGACTTCGACGAAAAATACGAATACCCCCAAAATGCCCCCAAAAAGGTACAAAAACGATACTCGAAAAATAGTCCCGAGACTATTGTTGGACTATTGTTTTAATCATTTTTAGGGTATCTTAATTTTTCGTCGAAAATCCCCCTGTAGGGGGACAGGCCCGACTTAACTCCAGTTGTGCGTTTCCACGATGTCCAGCTTCGTCCAAGATATGGGGGCCACATGCGAACCCTACAGTCGACCCGCAGAGTAAGGATAGGCATCCCTCCCAAGGGTACCCTTACATCCTTGCCTCCTCGGCCCATCCTCGGCCACTTTCGTTGGCCGCGCCCCGCTCGAAACGCTTCGAGATGGGCGTCCAAGGGCCTTGCATCCTTATCGCGCATCCTTACTCTGCGGGTTGACTGTACACGCCAGTCGTTGAAAGTATGTATTTTTGGAACCCCACATCCCAATCTACTTCAAGCGCCTTCCTACTTCAATAATCGATCTGATTATGTTATGGTTTGTTATTCAGTGGGAGGGCCTGAACCCAATCTACTTTATCCGCCTTCCTACTTCATGTCTCTACCCACTTTTTCCGACCGGCGTGTACCCCCCACGAGTTCGGAGGGGGAGGTTGGGGCAGGGCTCGCACGTGGCCCCCTGCAAGAGGTCAGACCTCAGGGCCAGAGCCCCGAGCCAGCAGGGCTGGGGGGCGCTCTGCCCCGCGCCGCAGGCCTCCGGGACAGCTCGGGCGTCCAGTCCTCCCAGATCCCTCCTCCTCCACAATTACTCAACATGAATACTACTCTCCTCCTTCCCTGATGACGGGTTGGGAGTGTTCGCCCCCCCCCGCGTTTTGTTTCTTTGCACAGGATTCCCCGGAGTTGGGTTTTCGCCTGCATTTTTGTTCGAAATGCTGCTCTCGCTGAGGCGCCGGCCTCATTTTCGGGCCCCGCTCGTTCCGAATCGTGCTCCCGCTGCAGCGCTGGCCTCATTTCCGTGCTTCCGCTCGTTCCGAATCGTGCTCCCGCTGCAGCGCTGGCCTCATTTCCGCGCTTCCGCTCGTTCCGAATCGTGCTCCCGCTGCAGCGCTGGCGTCATTTCCCGTGCCATGCCACGGCATGCAATGCAATGCTAGGTTGCGTTCCGCTGCGCGATGCCATGCCTTCAGCTGAAGCTGTGATATGCAGTGCTTAAGTGCCACGTCGTGCTATGCCATGCTATGCTTTGATCTTCAACGCCATGCTATGCAATGTTATATTCGCGGCCGCTGTGCGATGCCATGCTTTGCGTTGCAAAATTTTGCGATGCAATTCTTCACTACGCCACGCCACATACTACGCTTTGCGGTGCTCTTCTACGCCATGCCATGCCGTGCTCTACAATGCATCGCGTACCCTTTCGGGATCATTGCCCTGCTCGACATCCGACTGTGCGAGTAGAGGGGGGATCTACGCCATGGTAAGGGATGGGAGGGAGGGGTAGGATGTCATACATGACGCGAGCGCACCTAGCTTGTCCTCCTCCTCCTCCTCCTCCCCCTCCTCCTCCTCCTCCTCCTCCTCCTCCTCCTCCTTTCCGTCTTCTTATAGATAAATCCTCCCTGTCGCAACCCGAGGACAGTTTTTAGGGAGGGCCGAGCGTTTCGCCTGAGCCTTAAAAAGTTGGCAACAGCTTCAGATATGGAGAGCGGGTGGTTTTCAACATATGGCTCTCGCCTTAGCGCCGCGCACATTCGTTTTAAACACTTGCAAGAGCTTCACGGATTGAGGGCGGTGCGCACATTCATTTTAACAAAGTGCAATGCGGATTGAGGGCGGGTGGTCTTCAACATGTGGCTCTCGCCTGAGTGCCGCGCACATTCTTTCTAAAAACTTGCAAGAGTTTCACGGATTGAGGGCGGGTCGTTTTCTAATGTGGCTCTCGCCTTAGCGCCGCGCACATTCGTTAAACATGCAAAGAGTTTCACGGAGTGAGGGCGGTTCCTTTTCAACATGTGGCTCTCGCCTTAGCGCCGCGCACATTCGTTTTCAACTTTGCAATAATTTCACGTATTCCCATGATCAACGTACCGGAAATAGTGTTTTGGAAGGATTCAGGGTCATGCGGGCGCAAGAGTAATGTTGATTCGCTGCGTTGAAATCCCAAAAGTGGCGTTCTGGCGCGATTCTGGACCGCCAGCACGCAGCAGTCAGATCGATAGGTGGCGTTGGAATCCCGAGAACAATGTTGTGGCACGCTTAGGATCTTCCAACTGCTGTCTTCCAACGAGGCAGTTCCGTCAATGGAACTGAACCGTTCTAGGGGCCTATGAAGAGGGAGCTTGGAGGGAGGGTACATTCCAAAATCGTTGATGACTCTTGGGTTTCCCCTCGTCCTCCTCCTCCTCCTCCTCTTCCACCTCCTCCTTCTCCTCCCCCTCCCCCTCCCCCTCCCCCTCCCCCTCCCCCCTCCCCCCTCCCCATCCCCCTCCCCTCCCTCCTCCCCTCCTCCTCCTCCTCCTCCCTCCTCCTCTCCTCCTCCTCCTCCCCTCCTCCTCCTCCTCCTCCTCCTCCTCCTCCCCCTGAGCCCGTCGCCCCCCTCCCCAACTTTGCCCCCGAGGTCCATGGCGAAGCTCAGTCTGAAGCACGACTCGCACGCGGTGCTGCCCACGCCGGAGAAGTAGGACAACGAGCACGACGCGCACGTGGCGCACCCCTCCTCTCGGAGGAGAGGCAGCTGAAACAACGGCAGGGGGCCTTCAGGGGTCCCCCCCCGTCGCCACGGCTGGACGCAGCAGGGCTCGAGTAGGGGATCGACTACTGAATTGACTTACCCCAAACTTGATTCTCCCGTCGACTCATACGTAGAATGTTCGTAGAACTATGGAAGTCCAACGCATGTCTCATTGACTCGACGAGAAAATCAAGTTCGGGGTAAATCAATTCTGTAGTCGATCCCCTCCTCGAAGGGTCTGGGGACTGCTTCTGAGCTTCCGTCGTTTCAACCCGCCCTGCTCGGATCCTCTCGGCTGTAGCTGCCCGGCTCGCAACGCTTGTAGGAGACCTGGTGCGCCAGGTCTTGGTATGCCCCAGCCGGCACGGGGTGGCAGCCGGAGCTGACCGACGCGTTGGAATACCGTCCGGGCGGACACGCCTTTCGGCGGCGCGCCCAGGGGGGGAGGTAGCCGAGAAGCAATCAAAGCACCCGTAACCCTTTGGGAGGGGGCCAAGGTAGGAGGTCCATTCACATGATGGATGAGGGGTCCTTTGGGGCAGACGTGTTGAGCGGCACCGCCCACATGTTCAGGGATACACTGCGGGCGCGGCCGCAAGAAACCTGACCATGAAAACCCACGCGCGAGGTGCACCTGAGGGGAAACCCACAGCACCCGGAGCGCACCAGCCCCTTCTACGGCTGCGGGAAGGCGCAGCGCAGCTCGCGGAGCGAAGAAACCCAGGCTGCCCTGACGAAAACCGCATGGCCTCTTGAGGAGCGCCCCCGCTGTGCCCCTGAAACACGGGAGCTCAAGTGAGGTCACGAGTTCACTGTGTTACGAAGAATCGGGGCTGCACTATGCTCAACGAGCGGATGGCGCGCGCCTTTCTCGGCGGGCTCCGAAGGCCTCCGGGCCTTCTCAGCAGCCTTCTTTACAGCAGGAGCTCGACCACAAGACACCTTCCACAAGAGAACCATCGAATCACAAGAAACTCAGGGGCAGCCTGGATGCACACAGGGTGTGTCTTGGCATGTCCTTCCAATGTAAGCCTTTTCCGAGGCCCAGACCCCCGACGTCATGATTTGTTTTCGCGACGCCGACCTCCAAAGGTCTCGATCCATCCGCGGGACCGGCATCATGAGCCGTTCTTCGACGATCCTGGGGCCTGGGGAGAGCCCCCAGACGCCGAAAATGAAGGCAAACCTCCCGTCCTGATTGTTGCATGACCCGAAACTGCCTGCGGAAGGGTTTTCGACGGTCCTTGGGCCTGGCGAGAGCCCCCAGACGCCGAACCTGCAGAGGTGAACCTCCCGTCGTGACTTTTCCACGCACCCAAGACGACGACGACGACGACGACGACGGCGACGACGACGACGGCGACGACGGCGACGACGACCACGACGACCACGACGACCACGACGACGACGACGACGACGACGACGACGACGACGACGACGACGACGACGACGACCCCGAAACTGCCTGTGGAGGGTTGGGCGCCCGAATTATCCGGGGTAACTCGGGTCCGGGGTAACCCGGGTTTTGGTTCCCGAAAACCGAACCCGAGTTAACCCTGACCCGAGTTACCCCTGATGATTCTGGGGCTCTGGACGCCCGAGTTATCGGGGGTGCCTCGGGTCCGGGGTAACTCGGGTTTGGGTTCCCGAAAAACGAACCCGAGTTAACCCTGACCCGAGATACCCCTGATGATTCTGGGGCTCTGGACGCCCGAAATATCCGGGGTAACTCGGGTCCGGGGTAACTCGGGTTTGGGTTCCCGAAAAACGAACCCCGAGTTAACCCTGACCCGAGATACCCCTGGTGATTCGTTGACAACATGTTCGACGGGATGGAAGAGAAGAACGCGGAGCTGTTGAGCAAGATCGAGGCTGTGAACGAGGACCTCCAGAGGTTCAAGGAAGCAGCAAAGCATACAGGAGTTGGGAGGGATGGGAGCCCATAAGACACGCAGCTGTAGCATGACCTCACACAGCAGATCGCGCAGCTGGAGGTCCAAATGCGTACCCTCATGCAGACCGGCACCGATGAGACCAAGCTGATCGCTGTCTTCGGCGGGATGGATAGCTTGAGGGACGAATGCAAAGCATCCAAATGGATCAAAGACCGGCTCTGGGAAGGATACGTTGTTCCAGCTACCGAATATTACGTGAAGGGGGACTTCAAAGGCCTTCTGTTTGCAAACTTCTCTAAGCAAGAGGACCGTGACACAGCAAGGTCACGCTCGTACCAACCAGCTGCCACACAACTGGTGGAGACTGGAGGCATCAACTGGTTGCGTGGCGTACACGAGTGCGTAAAGGCAGCCACTAACTTCAAGTCGGGCCTGTCCCCCTACAGGGGGATTTGGGACGAAAAATAAAAAAATACCCCAAACAATACTCGGAAGATGCCCCAAAATACTAAAAAAATAGTCCCCAGACTATGTTTGACAGTTTTTGAATATTCCTCCTGCAGAGGGACAGGCCCAACTTAATCCTAAGAATCGCGACACGACCAGCCCCCTCTCCCCTTCCCTTACCCTGGTCACGCCCGTCATCGCGGAAGGTTCAAGGATCCAGGGGGAACGATCGAGGAGGGATCGAGGATCGAGGGACGAGTACAGGGGGGACGATCGAGGAGGGATCGAGGATCGAGTACTATTTTTTGACTATTTTGGAATATCCCCCCTGTAGAGGGACAGGCCCGACTTGATGCCGACTCCCCGGGCGCGGCCGAGACGGCCGTGCGACGGCGGGCAAAAGCCCGGGGACACGGCTGCGCTCACCGGGAGAAAAGATGAACAAGAAGAAAAAAAAAACAAAAAGGAAAAACGACGGCGGGAGGAAGAAAATAACGGAAAAGAAAAAGAGAACAAACAAGTCGAGGCGAGACAACAAAAAAAAACTACTGAAGACCAAAAAAAAAAAAAAACAAAACACGATAAAAAAAAAAAAAAAAAAAACAAAGAAAAAAAAAAAAAAAGGAGGCGAAGGCCTGCAGAGATCGGCAACGCGAAGGCGCGTCTGTCGAAGACTGGGGATCTTCTGACCCGGGTCAATCCAGACCCGGGTGAGCAGGAAACCAAAACACTGCAATGCAGGGGAAAAAAAAACTGCAGCGCAGGTCTTCGCAAACCCGGGCCAGCCAACATGCGCGGCCGCCTCGCGGCCACGAGCGGCTCGCTGACCCGGGTCAGCCAGGAGGGCGTCGTCGCAGGATCCTGCAGGATCCGGTGCCCTGGCTGACCCCCGTTATGCATTGACCCCCGTCTCGAGCTCCCGGAAGACACATCTGCGCGACAGGCACCGGCGCTCTTGAGAGAGTGGGCAGAGACGGAGCGCCTGACGGAACAGCTGTCGAAGTTTGGCGGTGCGCCGCAAGGGGGTGAGGGGAGGGGGAGGGCTTCTTCGAAGGAGGCTGCCTCTTAGAAGGCGCCGGCCCTACATCTGTAAATAAGGCCCGCGCCTTCGAAGAAGCAGGAGGGCTTCGAAGAAGCCCTCCCCCCTCCCCCCTCCCCCCTTCTGCGCGTGGCTGATAAGTTCAAGGAGCTGGATCCACTCCACGGAACCAGCGCCGAGCCTGTGAGGAGGCGCGCTTCGCAGAGGCCAGCGCCTCGTGAATCTGCCGCCGTGCTGCAGGACGCGCACTCTTTTGCAGCGAGCAGCCGCACGACCTCGGAGGTGCCTCGCTACTCGCGCGGGTCCCGGAGTTCGACGAGATCGAGCTGAGGGCGCTCGGCCAGCTGTCCGGAGGCAAATGCGCGGACAAGCACGGCGTCGTCCTTGAAATGATTGCTCAAGGTGGCGCTTCAGTGCGCGACGTATTACTTGGAATCTTCAACCAAATCTTGCGATCGGGGGACCTGCCGAACGACTGGAGCGAACTCCTGTTCATTATGCTTCCCAAGCCGGGCTCTGGCGACAAGGCAGACCCGAACAAGAGGCCCATCGCAGTGTTAAACGTCACGCACAAGGTTTTCTCAAAGATGCTGAACAACAGGCTGAAACCCATCTTGGATAGCGAGCAACCCTCCGAACAAATGGGTTTTAGATCCTAAGACGGGCGTTGATCATGCCGGTCTGGATCGTCAGCATCGATCTGAAGAAGGCTTTTGACAGGGTCTGCTACAGCTTGCTGTTTGACGCTTTGCGGGAGCAAGAAGTCGACGAGTCCTACCTCGCGCTGATGGCGCAGCTGTACTTCTGGCAGTCCGGTAACGTCGGTGGACAGGCCTCGTTCCCTATCTGCCAGGGCGTGCGCCAAGGAGATATACTCAGCCCTGCCTTGTTCAACGCCGCGTTGGAATCTGTACTGAGGCGGTGGAAAACGAACATGGGCATCTGCGGCCTGCTGTTGGACAGCGCCCACGAAAGGCTCACGAACATCAGGTACGCTGACGATTTGCTGCTGTTCGGGAAGAAGTTCGATAAGGCCATGTCCATGTTTGAGGCTCTATCTGAAGAGCTCGCCAGGGCAAGCCTCTCTATCAATGGCTCCAAAACGAAGATGCTGACAACGGATTCCGAGTCTTCAGACAGCGATGTTCCGCTTCTGGCTGATGCTGGAGAATGCATGGTTGAGGTCTTGCGATGCGAGGCAACGCACAAGTATCTGGGACGTCTGTTCTCTGGAGACTTACGGCGGAGAGGGCAGTATAATTTGAACCGCCTCTTGGCTTGCGGATGGATGAAAATCCACAATTTAGCGCCGACCCTGCTGAACCGGAAGATTCCTGCTCCATTGCGCCTCAAACTCTTTCACAGTGTCGTTACCCCTGCTGTCTGCTACAGCTTGTCGACGACACCGCTGACTTCGGAACAGATTGGCAAGCTGGATGCCGTTCAAAGAAAGATGCTGCGAAAAAAAATTGGATGGGTTCGCTTTGACGACGAAGATTGGGAGACCACAGGGCATCGCATGAAAGCAAGATTGGAGGCCGCGCTCCAGCGGCACCCTGTGCAGGAGTGGAGCAGGGTAAGGCAGCTCGCCAAAGACAGGCTGCTTCGCACCGTCGATGCCGGAACGGCGCCGCTAGTCGCGCAGCTGGCCGCCAACTGGGCTCCGGCGCAAGTTCAAGATCGCTTCCTACAACACGCTCCGCGCAGACGGCGGGGAAGGCCGAGACAGAGATGGACTGACTGATCGCCGATGCTGCCGCTGCCGTCCCCCATTCCCCTCCTCCCCTCCATTCCCTCCCTCCCCCAGGCGTGGCTGCGCCAGCGTAGTCTGCCCAGACGAACAACAGATGCTACTGCCAGGATGCTTTCCAGTTTTTCTGGTGACATTCCCAAGGAATTGTCGCCGTGCATGTTCATCCCCGTGTTCTGAATCAGGACCGGCCTTTGGGCCGATCGGGCGTTGCGCTACCGAGATCGGGGCCACCTCCCCGCGGTGGAGGAAGACCGCCGATATTGGTGCTGGTGTCCGCGCCGAGGCCTTCGAGTGGGGGCGAGGCCAAACCCGCTCGGAGGTCGGGGATCTGCTGACCTGGGTCGATGCAAACCCTGGCCAGCCGGGCTTTGCAGGATCGTGCAATGTCCTGCAGGATCCTGCGCGCTCCGCTAGCCTGGGCAATTGCAACCCTGGCTTTGCAGGATCATGCAAGATCCGGCGCTCTAGCTGACCCCGGTTTGCATTGACCTCGGCGGCCAGGCAGAAGGTGACTGCGTCGGCGATGAGAGGCTTAAACGGGGATGCCGCTAAAGCGAAATGTGCTACCACGCAAGAGGAGGACGAGGAGAGGACGCGGCCGAAGGAAAACAGTCCAAAGGGGAAAAATACACTCTCGAGACCACCACCTCAGACCTCTTCTCTCCCTCCTCCTCCTCCGCCTCCTCCTTCTCCTCTCCCTCCTCCTCCTCCGCCTCCTCCTTCTCCTCCTCCTCCTCCTCCTCCTCCTCCTCCTCCCCCTTCCCCTCCTCCTCCTCCTTCCCCTCCTCCTCCTCCTCCTCCTCCTCCTCCTCCTCCTCCTCCTCCTTCTCCAGACCCCCCAGCCCGCGCCAGGCCTGCCCCCTCCCCCCACCCCCCCTCGGCGCGCCGCGGAGCCTTGCACTCGGGGCTGCAGTCCTCGTCCAGGGCTGGACCCAAACGTTGCCGCTCGTTTTTGTGCTCGTCTTGTTTTTCGTTTTGCTTCGCCTGTTCTCCTGCACTTCCCTGCCGGAATGAAAAACAAAAATGCAGCCTAGGTCCAGCACACCGGCGTTCGGGTCCAGCCCTGTCCTCGTCCGCGTAGAACCCGGGCCCGCACTCGATCAGCGTGGTGCCGTCGCGGCTCACGGAGTGCCCCTTGGGCGCGCACTGGCAGTCGTGGTGCCCGCTGGTGAACGCATACTTGCCGAGCTCGCACTTCAGGCACACCGAGCCGCAGGTGGAGCCCTGGTAGTGGCCCGGCTCGCACTCGAGCTCGCGGATGCCTGAAGATCGTTTCACCGATCCCCACCCCCAGCGGCGTGGCCTAGGCCTCACTGGCCGAGTTGCTTCCCTGGGTGGGGATATGGGCCGCTCCCTTCGGGCTTCGAGGGGCGTGTCCCCGAGTGGGGTGGTAATTTGGTGGGGGTCTCGAGGGGGATGGGGATGGGGATGGGGACCGGATAAACGATACCGAGATTTCTCCTCGCCCTGGCCCCGTCCGATCCTCCCCCGACGCATGGCAGGAGGAGGAGGAGGAGAAAACGGAGGAATAGGAGGAGCACGGAGCAGCAGGAGGAGGAGGAGGAGGAGGAGGAGGAGGAGGAGGAGGAGGAGGAGGAGGAGGAGGATACTGAATGCCGTCGGACGTGGCGTAGTGCCCCTTGGCCGCGCACTTGCAGCTGTGCGCCCCCCGGTCGTGCGCGTACCTGCCCGGCGCGCACCTGGAGCAGGACCCGCAGCGCTCGGGGTTGGCGTAGCCTGGGCTGCACGCGGCCTCATTTGGACGCCCGAGGTGGGCACGGAAAGAGTCCAAAATACCCCCCAAAAAATCAACAATTATCCTGGCGAAGGACCCAACCATATGCAAACGTGAATACCGCAGGGCAGGTGGGACGAAGCAAAAAGAATTCCCAATGTGGCCACGAACCGTGTGAGGGGTGCGCCACACTGGGGCGGGGCCGCCATGCGAACCCTGCCACTGAGGCCTTCGGTGGAGCTCTCTATGTCCCTGCGAGGCCACGAACCGTGTGAGGGGTGCGCCAATATGGGGCGGGGCCGCCATGCAAACCCTGCCACTGGGGCCTTCGGTGGAGCTCCCTATGGGGCCACGAACCGTGTGAGGGGTGCGCCAAAATGAGGCGGGGCCGCCATGCGAACCCTGCCACTGGGGCCTTCGGTGGAGCTCCCTATGGGGCCACGAACCGTGTGAGGGGTGCGCCAAAATGAGGCTGGGCCGCCATGCGAACCCTGCCACTGAGGCCTTCGGTGGAGCTCCCTATGGGGCCACGATCCTCGTGAGGGGTGCGCCAAAATGGGCGGGGCCGCCATGCGAACCCTGCCACTGGGGCCTTCGGTGGGGCTCCCTATGGGGCCACGAACTGGGCTTTTCGGTGGAGCTCCCTATGAGGGTCACGAACTCGTGTAGGGGGGTGCGCCAAAATGAGGCGGGGCCGCCATGCGAACCCTGCCACTGGGGCCTTCGGTGGAGCTCCCTGTGGGGCCACGAACCGTGTGAGGGGTACGCCAAAATGGGCGGGGCCGCCATGCGAACCCTGCCACTGGGGCCTTCGGTGGGGCTCCCTATGGGGCAACGAACCGTGTGAGGGGTGCGCCAAAATGAGCGGGGCCGCCATGCGAACCCTGCCACTGGGGCCTTCGGTGGAGCTCCCTATGGGGCCACGATCCGTGTGAGGGGTGCGCCAAAATGAGGCGGGGCCGCCATGCGAACCCTGCCACTGGGGCCTTCGGTGGAGCTCCCTATGGGGCCACGAACCGTGTGAGGGGTGCGCCAAAATGGGGCGGGGCCGCCATGCGAACCCTGCCACTGGGGCCTTCGGTGGAGCTCCCTATGGGGCCACGAACCGTGTGAGGGGTGCACCAAAATGGGGCGGGGCCGCCATGCGAACCCTGCCACTGGGGCCTTCGGTGGAGCTCCCTATGGGGCCACGAACCGTGTGAGGGGTGCGCCAAAATGGGGCGGGGCCGCCATGCGAACCCTGCCACTGGGGCCTTCGGTGGAGCTCCCTATGGGGCCACGAACCGTGTGAGGGGTGCGCCAAAATGGGGCGGGGCCGCCATGCGAACCCTGCCACTGGGGCCTTCGGTGGAGCTCCCTATGGGGCCACGAACCGTGTGAGGGGTGCGCCAAAATGAGGCGGGGCCGCCATGCGAACCCTGCCACTGGGGGCTTCGGTGGAGCTCCCTATGGGGCCATGAACCGTGTGATTGGTGTGCCGAAATAGAGACATGCGGAGGGTGATGCTGGGGATGACGCCGAATATCATGGTGATGTTGATGATGACGATGATGATGATGATGATGATGATGATGACGATGATGATGATGATGATGGCAGGAGGGAGGGGGCAGCGGGAGGAGGAGGAGAAGGAGGGAACGCGGGGCACCGTCTCTTCAAAACGAGGGCCCAACACCACAGGATGGTTGGGAAATAGTCTGGGGACTATGTTTTGAGTATTGTTTGGCCTTTTGGGGGTATTATTGGTTTTTTGTTGATTCCCGAAATGAGCACGGAAAGAATGGGTACAGTGCCCAACAGCAAATGTTGTCCCAAACCAGCAGCGGCCGCTGTTGGGCATGCGGCCTTCTGTCTCAAATGGACACAGGCCGCGGCGGCGCGGACAGCGAGTCCTGTTCAGAGTGAACAGGAACTGCTGTTGGGCATCGTACCCATTCTTTCCGTGCCCATCTCGTTCGTGCAAAGCCTCGGACGTCCGGTCCGCGTTGGTGCCGTGCCCCCCCGGTGCGCACACGCACTCGTGCGCGCCCGAGACGTTGGAGAAGCGGCCCGCCGCGCAGGCCTCTGGAGCAACTTTGTTCCATCATTCGCGACGCACGGCCGTGACCAAAAATGAACGCAGCTCTCATCGACCTGCCAACCGGGGAGCCCGAAGAGCGGAAGAGCGAAGACGAGCGGGGAGCAGCCCAAAGAGCCTGGGGCAGAAGAGGGGGACAAGCGGGGAAGGGAAGAGCCAACATCACACGGAGAATACACGTCACGATGACTCGCGATAGTAGGGAACCCACAAAGATGTACGCGCCCAACTGTGTACATGAACACGGCCCCTCGATCCGCGAGACCCGCCGCGTGATGCGAACGTTCGCGCAATGCGTACTCTCGAAACCAGCGTGGATTCATGTACGTGTACTAACGTCCTTCTTTAGCCGGCGAGATAGCGCCCCCCCTTTCGGGCTAGCCGAACGCGTCCGTGACGGGCACCATCCGTGACGTCCCCCGCGCCCTCCAGGCCTCCCTCTGTTCGCATGCGCACGTCTTGGGATAAGGCGCGGGGGACGTCACCGAAGGGGATGGCCTGCTAGGGGCCGGTCAGGTCGCCCTTGGCCCCTTGCCCCCGGGTCACGTCACAATTCGCGCCGGCGCCGCCTGGGACTGAGCCGTTCTCATAGGCATTGCCAACCGGCGCCGACGCGTGTCGTGCCGTGACTGGCCCCCCTCCCCCTCCACGGTCACGCCCGCCATCGCCAGGGAATCAAACAAAAACGACGTCCTGGCACTGGTGACCCTTCTCAGGGTTGGCGTAGCCCGGCTGGCACGGGACCTTGATCAGAAGGAGAGCAGACGGCACAGGCATGCACTGTCGGAGCTCCGCGCGGGTTTTGGGATCCCTCTCCCTGGCGCGCGGAGCGCGCCAGGAGCAACGCTGGAGGCGCCGCCAGCGGTGTACGGCAAGGCCGATGTTTGCCGCTTGAGGCCTGGAAAATGACAAAAGGCACGACAACTGTTCCCGGAAAAAAAAACGGCAACGGAGCCGTCAGGCAGACAGCAAAACGGAACTGTGGAAAAACGGCCCCGTGTCCAAGGTCCACCAAGGTCGGCTAAACGCAAGAGTGACCTTCTGGTGCGCAAACTAAGGAGGCGCACAATGGCCAAAGCCAAGCGCGCAAGCAACCGCTCTCGCAAGGCGCTCAGCGATCCTTGGGGGCCCGATGAGCCCACACCACAAATCGCTCCGGCGAGTAATCGCTGTTACGTGTAGTCGATAAGGTCCCACCGCCGATCCGAGAAACCCGCGCGGAGCTCAGAAAATGTATGATGATGCCCTCTTGTTCTTCCTCGAGGACCTGCTCCGTCCGGCTCGCGTCGGCCTCGTGGCCAGC